TGAGATCGCTGCAGAAATATTCAGCAATCGTTACTATCATATGGAAACCACACTTCTATGATTGTCGCAAGATAGACTCTAGTTCTATCTCGACGATCGTCGCACTCACAAGCCGGTTGTCGGAAGCATCGCTCATATTTTTCTCTACCTATTGAAGCGATTTTAACGAAGTAGATTCTTCATGATGCTTTTTTTCTAAATTTTTCTTATTTCTATTTTCTATTTTCATGATACTAATTTTTATAATTCCGATAACATTTTGACCAACGGGAGTCTGTCAGTCCATATAAGAATTCGCTGCAAACGAATTTGCTAAACGCTTTGTTAAGAGCGTGGCTATTAATTATTGCTATTGTTCACTTTATGTCACCTTGGGATTTAATTTACGCATCCAACCGTTTGATTGACAGCAGCTGAAATCTGCAAAGAGACTCATGTATTCCCAAAGCTTTACCTGCTGACCAATCACAACCGACTAGTTCAGGATATGCAAATTATTATGCTGCCCGCTGATTAAATGGGCACTGCAAGTACATGTCGCGAAAGACAATAGCATTCTGGGCGATGTGGAATATAAATTTTTGTTCTAGTGTTTTACGGCTTTCCGAACTGCGAATGTGAACGTGCTTTTTGAGATCCCGGCCTTTTCCCAAGATGCACGGACCGTGAATAACCCTCTTCGAGAGTCATAATATCACTTTGTATCGTTTATTAGACGAGTCTGTACACATCACCTGCCCGGTGTCCGCTCTGACGAAGGGCTAACGCTCGAAACGTCAGCTTTTTTACCCTTTACGGTGGCTAATTTACGTTTTCAACCCAGTTGTTAACACTAAATTACCTGCTCTACGAGGATCAGCCGACTTAATTATTTGCCTCGTTTCTTCCTCGTTATAATGTTCAAGAGATACTTTTTACCTTTTTTAATTTTCCTCAATGCATGAATGTCATTAAAAAATAAACAAATTTATGGTAGAAATGAGAAATAAGAAATAAAACTGACCCACTATTTTATGAGCTAGGACTTTCAGCTACACTCAAAATATTTCTCTTGTGAATTTCCTCGAAATACTTTACCACAGCAAATTTGGCGGATAAGGAAGAGTTCTGTAGCAATATAGAATGAAATATGTA